AAGTTGACCGCACTGTCCTAGCCAGCCTAGCCAGGTCGGCTAACATCAGCATCAAACACGACTACAACAATGTCAACTTCAGATTATTCAACACCCGCTCTCTTACCAGCAAAAGTCCTCTCCTCCAGGAGCTCCTGTTTAACCGTAAGATTGAATTTTTGTGTTTAACTGAAACGTGGCAACAACCTAATGACTTTTCACAGCTGAATGAATGTACCCCTCCTGGGTTTGTTTACATCTGTCAACCCCGTACCTCTGGCAGAGGGGGAGGTCTCGTGATAATTTACCGCAAGAATTGGAGAGTGTCGCCTATTTCTGTCCCTGTTCAGTTGTCTTTTGAATCTATTGCCCTACAACTGAATGGGCCTACACCTACCATAGTGGCCACTGTCTATCGTCCACCAAAGCCCAATACTGATTTCTTGAATTATTTTGCTTCCTTTTTAACTCATCTGTGCTCACTCTCCCCTAACATAATATTGCTGGGAGATTTTAATATACATATGGATAAAATTAACAATGCCTTGACTAAGGACTTTACATCCTGCCTTGATAGCTTTGGATTCCAGTAACATATTGATTTTTCTACTCACTCCAAAGGAGATATCTTGGACTTAATTTGCTGCTCTGGCGTCACTCCTCTTGACTGCACTGCGGATGACCTTCCCATTTCTGATCACATGTTAATATCTTTCAATGTCAAACTTACACTATTCAAAACAAATCTGCCACGTGTCATTTCATATCGCAACATTGAGGACATTAACTTAACTGCTCTCTCCAGTGGCATTGACAGCCTCCCCAGCATAAACTGTTTATCCACCCCCGATGAACTGGTTTCTCATTACAATGATGGTCTTCATAGCCTCTTAAATACCCTGGCTCCTTTAAAAACCCGGACTGTTTCATTCACCCACTCTGCTCCATGGTTTACGCTTGAACTTTGCCAACTCAAAACAAAAGGCCGTCGCCTGGAACGTCTCTACAAGAAAACTGGACTTCTTATTCACAGAGAAATGTACAATAACCACATTCTCCCCTACAAGCACAGTCTCTCTACAGCAAAATCAACTCTCTCTGATCGCACTCAGTTCACTCAACTCCTTCAAATCCCAGCCATTTCCAGTCACTACCGGTGTTCCTCAGGGTTCTGTCCTGGGCCCCCTTCTGTTCATCATCTATCTCCTTCCTTTTGGACACATCTTCCGTAAGTATAACATCAAGTTCCATTGCTATGCGGATGACACCCAGCTCTACCTATCCACCAAACCCACCTCCTCCCTCCCCGCCCACTTCCCTGACTGATTGCCTACAAGAAATCAAATCCTGATTCACCTGCAACTTCCTCCAATTAAACAGTGACAAAACCAAGCTTCTCCTCTTCTGCACCAAATCAACAATCTCTAAATCAAGTCCCCTCCTCTTCCTCTTCCTCCTCCCCCTCCTCCTCTTCCTCCCCCTCCTCCTCCTCCTCCTCCTCTTCCTCTTCCTCTTCCTCTTCTTCTTTCCCCTCCTCCTCCCCCTCCTCCTCTTCCTCCCCCTCCTCCTCTCTTTTCTCTGGCTATTGACCACTCCTCAGTTTCTCCCTCCCCTCAGGTTAAGAGTCTGGGTGTCATCCTGGACAGCACACTATCATTCCAAGCTCACATCAATAATGTCACCCGGTCTGCTTATTTCCATCTTTGTAACATTAATCGCCTCCGCCTGTCCCTCACTCCCAGCAGTACTGCCATCCTCGTCAACACCCTGGTTACATCTCGCATTGACTACTGCGACTCCCTTCTCTTTGGTCTCCCTCGCAAGTCCATCCACAAACTTCAACTGGTCCAGAACTCTGCCACTCGCATCATCACCAGAACGCCCTGTTAATCACATCACCCCTGTCCTACAGCAGCTTCATTGGCTCCCGGTTAAACATCGGATCATCTTCACCTATCTTCTTCTTCCATTCAACTCACTGCACCACCCGGCCGCCTGCCCACCATGGGGTCCAGGGCCTTCAGTTGCTCTGCCCCCCACCTCTGGAACTCCCTCCCCTCCACAAATCTGTAATACCGACAGTCTCTCCATTTTCAAATCTAATCTCAAAACACATCTTTTTAAACTGGCATATTCAGTCTGATCATTCTCCACCCGGCCTCATAACTCCTTTACATCTTGTACATTTATGTTTTTTGTGTTTTTAATGTTAATTTTATCGTTGTGTTGTTACTTTGTTGTTTTTATCTCCGCTCTGTAAGGTGACCTTGAGAGTTCTGAAAGGCGCCTTTAAATAAAATGTATTATTATTATTATTATTATAACAAACACCATGTTCTAGCATATGGATGTCCATCAGTGAACTTGGTACCAGAACACTCTAGGCCAAAGATCGTTGATCAACTCTGCAGTTGTTCCATTAGATCTGCAGCCGTATGTCATGGTCACTCGGACGAAGAGAGGAGCAGAGCTGCCAACTGATCATCAGCTGGTGGTGAGTTGAATCAGATGGCGGGGAAGG